TTTTTTTTTTTTTTTTTTTTTTTTTTTTTTTTTTTTTCAATTAAGGACTGGAGTCAATATGATAGTTGTCCCTCTATCACTTTCTTTGTGAAATCTGAGGACCATGAACAAAATTTATTGTTGCTGTAACAGATCAGAGTCCATAACCACAATAAGGGTGGACTTTGTAAGCAGGATAAAGCTTCCTATTTGGTTGGTCACCGTTTCTGACCTCTCAGTGTTGTGTTGCATGCAGTGGCTGTGACAAATATTTTTTTCTTTTTCTTTTTTTTTTTAAGGTATGCTTCCAGTATTCATAGCATTGTTATCATTGTTAATGTATTGTAATGTGGCAACAAACAAAGGCTACCATTATTATGCTTTTCTTCTGTTTATTGAATATCTCTGTATGAAGAAAGACAATCCTTGCTTCAAAAACCTTGAAGTCTAAATTGACAGGTCATAAATAGATCAGGAAAATTAATATATATTTAAGGAGAGAGGGATTTGAACAAATGTAAATCTCTGTAGTGCACAGGGTAGTCAATGCAGAGGAAGTGATACTTTTAGAATGTAACTCATCCTAGGAAAGCATCTAAAATATATGGGATGATCCTTGCCTTGTGGTTGTCATGGACTTCAGAACAAGCCTAGCTCCAATGCTGTTGATATTTCTTTTGCAAGTCTCTAAAGATAAGTAAGATGAATCCTACTTTTTTCATTTTTTCAAATCTAAAGCATAGTCAAAATTGGGCAGATATATCTTGGAAAACATTGTTGATGTTCACCATACTATAAAGAAGGAAAAATTCAGATTTACACTGAGTTAATTTGAACATGTGAACATAGGCAAAAGCCCACCTCTACCTTCAAATTCTTACTTTCAAGTGAGTAAGACTCCAAAAAAGCCTGAAATTTGAACTTCCTGAAGTAGTACTGATGTTATCTTTTGATGATGAACAGTGTCTTTCTTGAAGGAACATGATTTTGTTTAAACAGCTAGCCAATGGAAAAGTGCATCTCCAATATGCATAGTGGAAGATTTCTTGTAAGATTTCCATTCTGCTGTGAAAACTGCCTCTGTTTATGATAAAGTTATTTCCATGTTCTGGTGTTTGTCTCTTTTCCATACTACCAGTATAACAGCATGAGGGGCCAGCCTCACTGCAGATTTTGAAACTTCTGTTTAAATTGATCCCATGGCTGTTAGTGATAGGGGCAGGATTCAGGGCAGAAGGAAAGAATGGCAAAGGGAAGAGCAAGCAAAACATGAAGGGAGAGGTGAAAAAAGCCGTGGTGCTGAGGTGACCAGATGTTGCTGGTTTGTAGATTTTTGTGGCATTTCCCCAATAGACTTGGTCTCTCAGTAATTTGCTGAATATTGTTGCTGTGGGGACATTGCTTTGATAATAATTCCCCCTCAACATTACTGTTGGCCACGTTAGGTTTATAACAAGGTGAAGGAAAGGTATGTATATAAAGGTCATAGTTGTACAGGCTACTTTGGCACATTTCTCAGCCAGCATGCTAATACGCAGTAGCATGGGGAAGAGAAAGTCTTTTGTAGTCTGCATGAAATGAAACTGTGGCCATAGGCAGCTGGCAGGCTTTAGATTCCAGACCTTACTTTAAGCTTTTGTAATATCTATGTGTATTACGTGCTGGGTTTTTTTTTGTTTTGTTTGTTTGTTTGTTTCAAAATATTAAGAGTAATTTGGAATAGAGCGGAGGCATCTGAATGGTGCTCTGCTGGGATTTAAGTCTTACAGGTGCATAAATGTGAAGGGGCAGCTCTTGGCGTTTGACTACCTGAGACACCCAGCGATTGAACAGGCTGCACAACAGGATGCAGTTCCTTTCCTAGGAGCCCTTATCATTTGCTGACCACATGTTTTGCTTGGCAGTAGTAGTGATCTGAGTCAGAAGTACTTTGTGCTGCTCTCTAAGAATGACCACCAGGAGCTGATGCGAAAAAGATAAATCACTATGAATTCTTGTCTTAATCGTCTGCTCCATAACTTGTAGACAAGTCCATGAAATCTTGATTCAGAGCAGAATAAATAAAATCAGAACTTAGCCAGCCATCGTAAGAGAAGGTTTGGAACAGGGGAAAAAGAATTTTGTTTTGTTTTGTTTCTTTTTCCCCAAAACACTTCAGTGTTTGTAATTAACCTAGAACAAAACTGTGTGAAGGACCATTTTATCACTCTGAATTTTGTCTTTCCTTCTTTCTTTTTTTTTCCCACATGTATACCTGGAAAAATATTCTTTAGTATGTAAGTATTTAAATAAATGTTACTTCTAAGTCTTTGTCACAGTATTAACAGCGAACATGAGTGATGCTCTCAGGACTAGAAGCTAGGGCTATCTTTGGGACCTGAAAATATTATCCAGTATCTATAAATATTTCTGATTCAAACTCTAAGTTAGATATTTTTTCAGCAGAGTGTTTGAGTTCTACCTGATTGGATTGGCACTTAATTCAAGTGGAACATTTTGGAGGGGGAGAGGGACAAATATTTTTTTTTCTCTTGTTTGGTTTTGAAGTATTTACACCAAAATAGAAACAGTGACTCAAGAGGGAAAGGACAAGAAAGAAGTAAGGGTATAGCTCCATCTCCTAATTCCAGTTTATGAAATTTCAGTCCTGTGCTGTCTTCCACTACCACAACACTTGTAGCTGAGTTGCATCCTTCCAGCCCTAATGAACTGCATCAGTAAGTGGTTTGGATTTAAACCTGTCGCAAATGGGGTGTTCTGAGATTTTGATTTTGATGTGAAACATTCCACCGACTTGCTTTTACAGAACAAACCTGCAAGTGGAGCATGAAGAAGGGAGCTGAAGTCTGCTAGAAAATTAAATATTGCCACTGAAAGGACTGTACATGCTGAATTTTGTTCTAGGCACGTGGCTGGTGAGATAGCTGTGTATTTGTAACTCAATTGGTTAAATTGTAAGGAACACTGCAGCACGGATGTAGTGCTTCCAAAACCTTTTCCAGTGTAGACAACTGCTAATGAGAGACAACTAAAAAAGAAGTGTTTTTTGTGCTAAGATGTATTAAGTGATATTTCTTAGTAATTCTCAGATATGACAGAAAGCGTAATTTCCAAATATTTCTAAATTGCCAGCTGAAATACAGCCATTTGAGGCAGAGGGCTGTATCAAATAATAAATACTTCCCTGATGAACTGTCACTGAAATTAGTTTGTGTCTGAGTCAGAAAATGAAGTCTGAAGGCATTCTGCAGATGATCCAAAGTTAGGTTATAAGAAAATTGCAAGTCTTTTTCACATACTGCATCTTTAAGAGCTTATATTCTTCACAAGCAGCTCTTAGAGGTGATGGCACTGTGGTGTACTGTTGAGAGCGTCTGGGCTGAAGTTAGAACTAGAGAGCTGGTGTAGGAAACAAAAGTTATGAGATACAGTCATTTCAAATTTCAGATTATATCAAATTCCATCTTCACTGGCTAAATCATCCTCAAGTGTCTAATTCTTCTGGAAAAGCTTTCGATGGCTCAAGCTGAGCTGGTTTTTGTGATGGATATTAAATAATCTGGGTGGTACAAGCTGTGAAGGAGAACATGGACCTAGTAGGAAACGGAAGAAGACCATAAAAGCCATATTTACAAAATGGTGGGGACAAGGAGGCTGGGGAGAGCCCTTCAGAAAGGGGTAATTCCACTCCTGCTTGTCTTACCCC